CCTATACTGACCTATAACACTCTTGGGCCATCATAAACAGGGTGAGAAGATGACTGCATTTGAACTGCTGGCTCAGGCAGCTGAGATGTAGGTCCCACAGAGAGACCATTTACCATAAAGCCAGAGCAGGTGACAAAACTATGTGCTTTTGTTTATGCTGGCAGAATAGTTTTACTTACAAGGACTTTCCTAAAAAGAAAGCCATTTTTGGATGGATGATTGAGGAAAAAATAATTGCAGGGTCACAGGAGGAAAAAGCTATCAACACAGTGGAAGCAAAAGCACATTGTCATGGAACAGCAGCTGCTAGAGAGCAAAGCAAAGATGAAGACGGGAGGCCATCTCACAGTAGAAAGAAAAATGGATGAAAGAAACTAAGAGCAAGACATGTTCTGCAACTACTTCCCAAAGGACACACATCTTTGGAAGCACTGATACGCATGTCTTCAAAAGATCTCATCCATCTACATCGCAAGATGGAGATGGGGAAGACCAGTAAAAATGTAGACGAGGAAAGCATTGAACGTTTTGCTTGTGGGTCCTATGGTCAGCTCACTGGGCTCACAGTGCTCAGATCACTGACTCTGTGGCGGTTTTGATGAACCCCAAAGTTTCCTTTCAACCCTGACACAAAGCAGGGAGGCTAACACATGGACACAATTCTACCCCAGTTTCTGTACAGCAAGGCTTTCTCAGGAGCAGTTTACAGATGACAGGGAGAGGAGATTTCCCCCATTCCATATGGGTACTTCAAGAAAAAATTAGGTAAACAGGTAATAATTTGATAAAAAAATTGATAACAAATAAATTTGATATCTGCAGTTCTTGAGTATTAGATCCCACATCACCTGTCAAGCCCCTCTCTTTCCTACTGCCACCTTGAGGGACAAAAAACCCCCAAGGCTTGGAAAATCAAGAACGAGAACACATTGTTTTATGCATAATTTTCATTTCTCTCATGGACAGACAGGAGAAGGAGTACTAACACTAGTTCATAATTAAAGCAGTATCAGGAGGCACATCACAACAGTAAGTTACTGTAATCCAGCACAGCCCACAAAGGTGATTTTAACCTAAGGACCAACTAGGCGCATGATTTCATTAAATTAGGGTTCCTTTCGGTCCTCATCAGAGATAAAACTGCTGCAGGATATATCTGCGGGATGACAGGAATTCTCCATCACTTCACTAAAGAGTGTCAGAAGTGTTCCTGGACATCTGAGATTTCCAACACTACCAGGTGTGATTTTGGAAGCAACCCACCAGATCCTTAGCCAGGATCATAGTAAACAGGATAGTGTCTTGCAGGAAGAAGAAACCTCTGCTTAACAAGCTTTATGTTAAAAAACCTATATATATGGGCATAAGATCAGCTAACATGAGATCAAGGTATCATCAAATACAGTGGGAAAGACATAAGTGAGATAAGTAAAGTGAAGATTATGTCTGACTAGCATTACCCTTACAATGCCAAGAATTTGCCTGAATTTTATCCATTTAGCACCCTGTTGGGGGACACTATAACTCTCCTTTCCCTGCCGGTAAACTGTTGCTGTATTTGTGATCAGAATCACAAAGAAACATACTCTTATGGTGATGGAAAACCTTATTTCAAGTCCCAATCCATAAATACTAATTTGCTAGGTGTGCAAAATCGTTATTTTTTGCTCATATTGTAGGAGCAAATATTAAAAATTGCTGAGCCCCCAAAACATGTTAAGCAGTTACTTGAAAACATCAAGGAGGCAGCAAAAATCCTAAGAGTGACTCCTTCTGTTGCCAGATACTGTTTTGTGTAAAGCGTTGGTTGGAATCTAGCCCTTCTAAGAAGAGAGAAGTGAAACACCAGGAACTTATAAATATGGTTAAATGACCACAGCTGCTACTGCTGACATGGCTACACTGGCATAAAAGACATCTCTGCTGCATAGTTTGTTTTGATAAATTTGTAGAAATAAGCTCTATCTGTATGATCACTTTTTCTCATGTTACTTCAATCCACTTCAGAGTTGTATCGGTTTACTGGTATTGGTTACTAAGTTAAACAGTCAGTACAAAACTTCTCTAGAGGTCAATCACACATAGTCCAGAATTTTCCGAAAGCATTAACTAAAACACTGCACTTCAACGTCACCTTTTAGCAGGGTGCCTTGAGTGCATTGTAAGCATTTAATAGAGAGAACCTTCCACTGCCTGTGAGGTAGGTTAGCAGTGCAAACCATTTCGCATGCCAAGAAAAGGAAAAGAAATGGCTCCAGGAAATTAGTTTAAATAGTAATACAAAATACATGAAAAAAACCCTAGACATTTTCTATGGTGTGATCAAGCATGTGATTTTTCAGCTTCATTTTGACAACCAAGCAGCAGATGAAGTAGGAGTTCAAAAACCAGAGAACAATGTAGCAAATCTCAGCTAACTTGAGAAAGGTGTACTCAGGATAATAAAAAGGCAGAAAGGTTCAGTAGTTGCTTAGTGTCACATATTTGGGGATATTTTTTGCCAGAAGGTAAAATAATTGATGTTAAATACATATTTGCAACCAAATTGCTGTATTACCAGTATCAAAACTGATTTCTTGCCATCACATTCTTCCATTTAACTGTATGCAACCAATACAAACAATGTAAGTTCCCTGATAGCAAGAAAGACTTTCTGTATTGTAAAAACACTTGATGCAGAAGACAAAAGAGAGGTATACATAGAGTCCAGAGTCCAGGGGACCCAAGTAGTAAAAGAAATATTTGAACTGTCTCTGAGATCCAGCTTCAGGCAAAATTAGGAATAGCCTACTGCTGTACATGCATGAAGGCAGGAATCTTTGTCCACAGAGAGGCACAAAGAGATGGTGTGCTAGTAGTCTCAAGGGAGCACCACGGCCATGGACAAGCGGCTGAGCAGTTGGCTGGATGTTGGTGGCTGCCTGTGTCGGCTGTGCATGGTGTGCAAAGCTGCCATATGCTGCATGGCCCAGCCAGGGTCTCAAGCTGCTTCTCCACAGGAGGATCTCCATCTGTACCCCTGTTGCATGTGCCTCCAAGCTGAGGAATTCCAAAAGGGCTGCCAAGATCCGTAAAAAGTAATATCCCCGCTCTCTTGTCAGCGCTGGCAAAAACAAGGTCTGCATTCCTTTGACTGTGGGCTCTTTGGAGCAGGAATAGGAAACACAAGTGCTACCATTAATGTTTGTCCTCAGAATGCTGAATTATGAAGCAGAACTTGTAAGAAAAAAGTGTTCATCTTCACAGTACTTGAACATAACTTCTCATTTCAGGTGGGTGCCTAGCATCAGGGCTCTGCCAGGTTGGAAGGTACATGGTACTCTGTCTTCAGCAAAAACGAAAGAAATGGTTGATAAAATCAAAGCCGTTAATTTAACCATCTAAAATTAGATCACAGTACTTGCAGAGGGTGAGTATCTACTGTACCATTTTGCCCACCTGGGCAGCAGAAGGTACTCCAACACTCTGTGTAGGTGTATCACACACCCACTTCAAAAACCAATCAGGTATTAACTGCAGTGTAGTAGAAGTCTTGGCCAAACTCTCTCCAGGCAACCATCTCACCACTGACAGCAGCTGTCATAAGAAGAGGTCCCCAGGGCTGCAGTCAGGCTGCAGCGCTATGTGTCTTGGTGGGACATGGCACACATGGACACAACCCATGGAAACACAGCATCACTTCCCAACCTTAAGAGTCACATCAGCAGGAGAGGGATCAGGATTCCTTCCTGCACCACTGTGCCATAGCCAGCAAAGTCCCAAAGACTGCTTAGCCACAGGACTGGACACAACCTCAGTCTCTAATACCACGCATCCTAAATTCACCAGGTAGACAGATTTAGTAAAGGACACTGTAGCCTGGCCAGTCATTCTAATCCTACCAGCCTATTTGGCAGTCCTCTGAAGTGTACCTCTAAAGACAAGGCAGTGCTTAGATTTAAATGCCATTGTGAGGCAAAATTGGTATGGCAGGAAAGTACCAGCTCTTCTTTGGGTAGAAAAACACTACAGTACTTGCTAAATCAAAGAGAAAAAAAAAAAGAATTCATGTTTTATACAGTGGGAAGAATGTGGTTATTACAGCTTGGTCATTACAGCTAAGTATAAGGCAGAAACAAGTGCTTGGCTGTACACAGAAGGGAGCATTTTGCACTCCATTGTGTCAGATGCTGAAAAGTGACATCAAACAGATTTTGCAACCAGTTTTGAAGATGGGATGAAGCTCTTCTGCCATCATTTATGTTATACTTAGCGCAAGGCGCTTCTTCAGGAAGCCTCTTATACGTCTCTTGCACAAAGCACGTGTGAGAGCAGCCAGCAAACATCCTCATCTCTAGCAAACCCTTCCCTTGCTCTCCCCAGGCACACACGCAGCAGATCCCTCTTAGATCGCCTGGATAACCATTCTGCAAACCTTTCCCCAGCAAAACCTCCAGACATCCACCCAGCAAAGCTCCCTATAGGTCTCCCCAGGACATCCATGTAGCAAATACCCTTATCGCCCCAGCACATCCATGCAGCAACATCCCCCGCATCCGATCACCGGGAAATCCATGCAGCAAAGCCCCCTGGCTCCACCGAACACCATCCAGCAAACCCTTCCCGAGCTCCCCGGGACAGCTGTGCAGCGGCGCTCCTCACCTACCCCGGACATCCAGGCAGCAGCCGCCCTTTGCCGCCGGGACATGCATGCAGCAACCCCGCTGAGGTCCTGGAGGTTATCGACCCGGGAGAGCCCGCAAGCCCCACCGGGCAGCACCGCACCTCCAGTTCCCCGGGGCACCCGTGCACAAGCCCTTCCCGCCGACAGCCCCGGCTCCCCCGGCGGCTCCCCCGGCAGTCCCGGTCCCGCCGGTGGCGTGCAGGACCCGGGGGCGACGGCGCGGCGATGGAGCGCCCGATGGGGCCGCGCTGCCACGCAGTGTCCCCCGCGGGGGGCTCCGGGGCCGTGGTGAGGGCCGGGCAGCGCTTTCCCGTGCGGTCTCCGGGGGCGGCCTCACCTTCTTGCTGTCGGTGGCGGCGGCGAAGCCCCTGCCCTCGCCGCTCACCGAGGACGAGCGGCCCGGGCCGAGGTGCTCCTGTTGCGGGGACATCACGTCCATGCAGCCCCGAGCCGCCGCGCTCCCGGGAGCCGCGGGGACACCCGCACCATGGACAGGGCGCGCCGCGCCGGGACACGCCCCCAAGGGCGGGACACGCCCCCTTCGGGACACGCCCCCGTGGGAAACGCCCTCACAGACCACGCCCCCCCGCGGGCCCCGCTCTGCACAGGCGGGGTCTGCAGGCGGCGGGGGGGGAGTACGGCGCATGCGCGGCCGGCGGGCTCGGGGGGTCGCGAGCGAACGGCGCTGCGGTGGGGGAGCTCGCGCTGGTGCCGCGCCTGCGCTTGGCGCTGAGGCGGGAGGCGCGAGGGGGTCGCGGGAGCTGCGGGGTCCCGGGAATGGGGCGGTGCAGGGTCAGGGCACCGGGGAGCTGCTGCAGGGCCCCGGGGTACTGAGGGCGTTGCACTGTCCCAGGGCTGTCGACCCCTCCCCGCAAGTCACCACACCGCTCTCCCTAGAGCCCTCCCGCGGGGGGGTCCCCACCTGAGGGCAGGCAGCGGATTACTGCGGGTGTGCATGTGGGTGTCCCACGGCAGCACAGGCTCACAGCCCACTGGGACAGCCCAGGGCATGCCGTCGTGCTCCAGAAAGCCGTGAGCAACAAGGAGGAACCACTAATTACACTAATGGACGGCGCTGGCTCAAGAACAAATGGGTGCAAATAGGCTATAAATAAACCTGAGCTGGAGAAGGAGAGAAAGCGTACTGATCGTACTGATCCTGAGAGGAGGAGGTTGTGGAGGATCCCTGCCAGGCAGGAGCAGAAGGTGTACGTGCATGAATGGTGGTGGTTTGATACAGCTGTCGTGTTCGTATATCCCCATTAAGTATGGTGTCCTTAACAGCAAGGGGCTACTCCTGGTCACTCAGGAGGTTCCTTCTAACCCTGTCTTTCTACACTTTGTGAGCGATAGTTTTATCTCCAGCCTTTCCAGCTGTTACAGACTCTATGTGCATTTTCTCCCACACTGATCACAAAAAAAAAAAAGGCATAAAAAAGAGATCCTACCATCTCGTGTGCAGCTTTTCATAACTACCGCTTTTCTTCTCTGAGAAGAGTTTTTGCATCCCTGTGATGAATTGGAGTGGGAGTTGTTTCAGCTTTAACAAGGTTTCACTTTTCATCTGGAGAACCCAGGCTGGTTTTCCTCCTGGAGGCAGAAACTGATGTGCTGCTTCCATAACTTGGTGGTAGTGGCTCTTGCCACATATGACTGAAATAGCAGTAAATGATGAATTTGGTTCCATGCTATGTAGCCACCTTGAACAGATTATTTAGGCTCAGCATATCCATGTGATAGTGCTTCAGTGATCTCTTTGTTGAGATTGATGTGGGCATCTGCCCTCTGTTTGCACCATCATTTCTGCAAATCAGTAGAATCATGTAAGTAAGGGAAAGATGAAATATTAAAAGCAGGGATGCAGTGTGAGTAGTTCTGCCTCCTCAGAGGGATTTTGTGGATCTGTCTTGGCTTTTCCTCCTTACTCTGTCTGACCAATTAAAAAGTCAGAGATATCTCTGACCACCAGTAGATAGCTCCCTTGTGTCTGATCTTAGAAAACCCAGCAGTCTGCCCCTAATATCCTTGGGAAAGAGCAATGGATGGTTAGGGTAGAGGTTTGTATGCACTGTGTATGTTAACATGTCATGAATTTCACTATTTCCTCTTTGTTGCATTTTTACAGTCTTTCAGCTGAAGTGTAAAACCTTGAAATGATACATTCTTGGTAACTGCCCCCCTAATTTACAGACAGATGGTCATTCATCACTGAGGCAAAACAGCATATAAAAAAACCTTCTGAATTTTTAAAGAACAAGTCTCTGAAAAACCACTATGTCAGCTGATTTTTGCACCTCTGGGCCTTGGCACAGGCTGGGTGTCAGGCTGGCCCCAGGCGCCCATCCCTACATGTGGTGCAGACCTTATCTTAGTGCTCTCACAGCTCCTCCCATCCCCTTAGTTGTGCCCCTGTTTCTCTTTCTTCCCCTCCTTCCACCACAGTGCAAGTTCCTCGTGGGGTTAGCAGCAAGTAAAGAGCAAGCAGCATCATAGGCTTCCCCTGGCACGGCACCCAGCTCTGTAAAATGGGGAGGCAAGTCCAATTACTGCTGCAAGCACCGAAGCCAGTGGGATGCTATCCTCAGGTCTTCAAATTTCTGTGAGAGGGCTAAGAAAAGATCCATTAGGGTAGAAAGGAAATAGTATGAAATGTCTATTCAAAGCCCAGAATATATTTAGCAATTTGGCAGCCTCTTTTCCAAAAGCATTTGCAAGTGATAATATTCTCAGTGACATTTTGGAAACAGGGCTGTATGTATATGTTTATTTTGCAAAGGAAATGTTACATAAGCTTTCCGAAATACTCGCACGTGCTTAGGAGTGTTCTTTTATCTACTACCTTAAGCACATTTGCTACATTCTTCATTAAATACTGACGCTTTTACCTACTCGAAGAGACAGGTAGATTAAAGTCTTGCCATTTGGTGATCAAGACTGGAGAAGCTGCTTCTCTCTGAAGCAAAAATATGTTTACATATGCAAACATACAGCCAGCATGGTTTTGTTAGCTTCTGTTCTCCCCTGGTAACAATGTTTCCATACCTTTCCTTAACCTGCTCTGCCGGAAAAATGGATGGGAATTTTAGCACCAGAGATGTGAACTGGCAGGAGTGACTGGGAGAGAGCAGGGTTTTACAAGCCTTGCTTCCCCTTGCTGCAGGACAAATGGCAAGGAGGGAGCATGCAGAGTACAGTAGCAATGTACAGGCAGCCTGGAGCACCTTGCCTGTAAAGAGGCCTCTGGTGTGACATAAGCAGTGAGTGCCTTATGGTGATTAATCTCAAAGGGTAAAAACAAGTAAACCCAAACAGGAAACAGGAAAAATAGGTTTTCCCAAAAGACAGATTAGAGCTGAACCAACAATTTCTTTGTCACAGACCAGGACTTTGTTAATTGATTTCTGTCTGAATTTTGAGAGATCCTTGAAAATTGGGGAAGTGATCACGACTGGGGACAGGATGTCATTGCAGCCTGTGCAGAATCCCCAGAACTGCCTCTGCCTGACATTTAACCTTCCTCTGTGCAGAGATTCCCAATGGGATAACCACCTGCTCTCCCTCACTGCTTGTCCAGGGATGCAGAAATTCCCACATAGGCTGGTGTGGGGCCAGGCCAGCCACGTGGCTGCTGCTGCTGCCCAAGCTGCCCCGGGTCCTACCACCCCACAGCACACAGCAAGTACACTGTGACATTGGCCAGGCTATAGGGCAACTACTGGGTGCTGCCTCTCATATCACCAATGCTATCAGGGTTTTGACATCTGCTTGGGCACTTCCAACCCATGTTGGTCTGAACAATGAAAAGGTGAGGTATATAATTGCACCAAATCAACCTTCAACTGCACCATCATCACCACTAGCTAAAATCCTGCTTGAGCCCTGCCCCCAAGAAAAGACATACAAGGCTTAGGAAGTAACATGCATGTTCATAGAAAGATTTTCTCTCTGTTGCCTTGGCCACAGTGTTGTGTGAAGAAAAATACCAGAGAGACAGGAGGGAACTGGGACAGAGAAATATATGGGTGTTGTAGCAAAATCATGCTTGTACACAAGACAGAGGAGAATTATTCATGGGCAAACTCATCCAGGTGGAAATGTGACCCCTGTAAATCTGCCATATTAGGGAAACCCAGAGTGAACTGTTAGCAAATGCAAGATACACAGGCTGCCTCTAACCCAGTTTTTATGGGCTTTCCAAGCACGTTAGCACTAGCAGACATTCCCTTCCAAGACAATTATACCTGTGAGGCTATAAATGAGTGAACAGTACTTAACTTGAACTAAAAAAATATGATTCTACCAAATCTGCCCCAAAAGGGTACATTTGCCTGAACACTGATTTTATGAACCTCACAGATGCCCCATGCAATTAAAGACATGAAGTTGATCTGAATTAGAAACTCCAGAGGCAGTTGTATTTCAATGAGATCTGATGCAACAAATCTCTAATATCTCAGTGCCTAGAATCTCATGCTTCTTGTGCGTTGTGGACAGCTAAAAATAGGACCATATCCTGGACAGATTGGAGCTACTCACATGGAAAAAAGCTGAGCTGAAAGGAAAGCTTGGAGAAGGAAAACGGGATGGATGGAATGGATGATGGAACTCAACACAGGAGCTCTTAGTGGTAGGCATTTATCCTGCGGTGTGAATGCTTCATTGCTCTTCTTCACAGTGTTTACTACTTCTCCTTTCCAAAAAAGTTGTGGTAAGCTGACAGCATCCTCCGTGCTCTCTGATTTCAGAGAGTCTGGGCAGAAGGTGGTCCAGCTACCAAGTCCTACCCCTCTGTTTTGATAGCAACCTGCTAATAGAGCTGTTTAACGCTATGTGAGTAACTGCTAAGTGGAACTCATGAATGTCCTGGGATTCAGGCTACAGCACTTATTAATGCTTTGCGCAGATAGGTTCACATTAACAGGAATTGCCTCCTTCAGTCCCTTCCCATGCTATAAAGTTTGCAAGGCCTTTGGAGCCAGATGCTCTGCCTCAGAGACTTCATAAGCACTGAGAAACACCTCACTTGGGTAGTTCTGCCAAAGTTCATCAAATGAACAAAGATCTACCCACTCTCTCTATCCCAGAAATACAGATGGTCCCTTGTGAATGTGGAGTCCAAGTTTGCAGCAGGTGACTTGTTTCCAGTGGCAGGGACAAGTGTGCACATTGAATGAGCACCCCAACTGACAGCTCTGCTGTAGAAACAGGCACAGCACAAGTACTGGAAGAGTCTGAGTGCTGTGTGCTCTACGTGGGATCACCACTGTGGCCATCTAGAGCCATCCTGCCATGGCTACACCTGCTGCCCAATTATGAGGGAAGACCTTTATGTCTCAGGCTTACGGATGAACCTACCAATGATCCTACCAATTCTTAACATCCCCTTCAGCCTTATTACATATGCTCTGTGAAATTCCGTCCAGTGCATCAAAGGGAAGTTTGCCTTTGAAGG